TTGGGAAATAATTATCTGATTTGAATTAGTTGAAACGACTCAATTCACGATTAATGAGGCTTAAAAATAATGTTTTGACAACTTGCCTCTTGTTAAATCAACTTGATGAAATTCAAATTCCAAGTTAAAACCAAACAGTGGTCAAGTTGACGTTGCTTCCATTTTCAAGGAAAGTTAGCAAATATGTCCCTGGAGTCTCAGAAAGAAGCTTCTAAAAACAAATGTATTTTTATTGTCTGTGTGACCAAACTTGTCCTGAAGCTCGTTCTCCATTACTCTTTGTTTCCTGCCACCTGTGATCATCTTCCGTCTCAATCTGCTGTAAATATCTCCAGTGACCATCCCCACCGCCCAGAGCCAATTACAGGAAAACGCTGACTCGGCTGTTCCATATTCTACGCAGGCTTCGCCTCTTCCAGGCCTGAAATCAATATTGTAATAGGAACAGGATGGAGCACATCCATCCTCACCATCAGCCGCCCTGGTTTTCTCAATCTGCTGCAGAGGAGGGAGTACTGAAGGCCCAACACGCCGTCGAAACTGATCGTCTTTCGTCAATGTTTTTATGCACCTTAGATGTTTTCGAGAGAAAAAGATGAAAGAAGTGACCTCAGCTCTTGAGGTTTTCACACATTATAAAGCAGAAGAAGGAATCAGTGTCTCCTCATGTGTTGCAAATCCTTTCAGGGATTTGTGAGGATTTGTTGTGCAGCAGGTGATGATTAATTTTTTTTTCCTCCCCTGAAGTAATCCATTCGGCGCACCCTCAACTCCTACACAAGGTTTCTGTGAAGTTCAGGAACGGCTGCAATTATGGCGGTCTGCGGACTTAACGCGGGCTGGAGGCAGCCTCGGCCCCGCTGACGGGACTCAGACTGGGCTTTCAGGAAGCTGCATCCAAACGTTTTCTTCTGAAGCCGCCTCTTCACAAGCACAGCAGCAGAACTCAATAAAAGCAGGAGCCCATTTCCAGACACAGTGTGTGCAGGTATGAGCTGCAGGATATCTTACAAATCCTCTTAGTCTGCACATTTCTTTGTCGACAAAACAAATCAAAGCCAAATGCTTCCTCCAGAATGTCGTGCATGTCTCCGTTTCGGTTCCCGATCCTCCCTTCCCGACCCGTTGTTCCCAGAATCATTACCTCGACTGACAGCAGTTTTGTTGTTTGCCTCTCTGGCTCCCTCGCGGCACCGTATCAATAAAAGCACTCCTGTGATGCTTCATCAAAGCTGCCGTTTTCTCGTGAGATGCATTTCTTTTATTTTTATTGTTTGCTTTTTGAGAATTGGCAGTTCCCAAAAACCCCAGCTGGTCTGTCGCACATCCATTAATAATGAACTGAAAGCCCAAATGCCAAGTGCCAGAAATCATAATGTTCTGTGTGAGGAGCCAAATGGATAAGGCAACTGTCAGATCTCACACACACACACGCACACACACACACACACACACACACTCTGCATGCGCACGCAGTGAACCAATTATTTTCCTGGTTGTTATACAGTAAGAGAGACAATAGGAGCAGGAAGCAGCGTTCTCATTGGTCCCGTCTCATTACCTGCCTTGCTGGGATGCATGTCTCAAGCATCAGCTAAATGGAGCAGACAGTCAATGTGATGCACAAATAACAAGGCTGGCAGCATTTCATTCAGAGAGGATCCTACAAACGAAGGGAAGTAAAAAAATCACAGCCTTTTCCAGAATGAGACGTCAGAGACACTGATGAGTGTTTAAAGAACAAAACATGAAAGATAAACTCTAATGGATGGATGGATGGATGGATGATCAGATGAATGGATGGATGGATGGATGGATGGATGGATGGATGGATGGATGGATGGATGGATGGATGGATGGATGGATGGATGGATGGATGGACAAACCAAAAGATGGATGGATGGATGGTTGGATCAGAAATGACCATTTTAATGTCAAATCTTCTTCAGCCATCTGAAGAATCATTACGTAATCTCTCATAAACTGGAAATAATCTTAATTTCCTGCTACAATAATCCGTTCGTTCGCCATCTTGCCGAGGCAGAACCAGATCCAGACCCGTTTTCCTCCCAGCAGGTCAGTTAAGCCCTGTTTTCCTCTCTGACGTCTTACGCATCGGCGAAGCGTCTCGCTATCAGAGGCTAAACAGCTGTGACCCAAACCCACAACACAGCTGGTTTCACCCGACATCCCTCACTCACGGCGCAGCGGAGAAGAAGAAACACCATTTTGACAAGCCGCCATATTCTTCTGCATCACTGACGCTCAAACATCCTTTTTTTCTAGCAAATACCGTATTTTCTGGACTATAAGGCGCACTTTAAATCCTATAATTTGATTTAAAAAATGACAGTGCGTCTTATATATTGTTCTGGATTAAACCGCCACCTCTGAATTAATATGGATAAATTCTGGATGTGCTTACTTTCCTCGAAGTGATTTTGTGTGGCTCTGTTAAAATGTTTCAGTAATAAATTCACTTACAACAATGCAACTAGTACTTTTATCATTATTAAGGAGTTATTGACTTAAAACAAGCACTTATACTCCTAGGTTACTTTTGTCTTATTTCAAGTGGACAAAGATATTTGCACTAAAAATTATAAAAGAAGTACTTAGTAAAACTTCCATGATTTCTTTATTTTCCATTCTTCAGTTGCAGAAAAGCTCTGCTGCAACAACAGTCATGCTGGTGTTGAAAGAGTAAAAAAACATTCAACCATGGACTTAAACAACTTAATTGTCTTAGAAAAAGTTTTTTCTTTTTGCAGTGCCGCTGTTTGTTCGCTTTTTTAATTGTTTTTCAACCCACTCAGTCAATCCAAGCTACCTTTTTCCACTTGTCTAACATAATTTTCATTTAACTCCTTTGTTTTCTTGCTCTGTAGGATATCGCTGCTTCTCTCCTCCACTGAAAGTCGGTCATTGTCTCAGGCTTTTTCTTTACGCCGCCCACTCCGCTCAGTCAACCGACCTTCTTCCCCTCCGCCAACATCTACTTCCTTCCAGCTGACACTCAGCATCAGCTTCATCACTTTTCACCACCCACACCGCTGTCTTCCTCAGTCTTTTTCGGCCTGTTGGCCCAATTTGATCAGGAAATCTAAATAGGTTGAACATTTAATGGAAGGATCTTTGGTAAGACGCTGAACATCTATTTTAAAAGACAAAAATGGGGACGAATCCTTTCAGGTTTTGTTATTTACCAACAAGAAGGTCTTGACCTTCATCTTTTAAAGAATAACTGTTTTCTACATTTTTTAAGAGAGCCTGGACTAGACTTGAAGGTCAAATCTTCCTTATGATCTCACAAGAACGAGCCTGCAGGAAAGTCAAATGTTTATCTCTCATTGTTCAAGAAACAAGAAAATAGAAATCATTTTGTTAATATGACCCAAAATCGGAAACTTTTAACCTGATTTAATGACAAATATTGAACAAAAAAGGTCCTTAGTCCTTTTATTCTATAAAAAATAAATAACTGGTTATTAAAGTAAAGTTAGTGAAGGAAAAAACATGAAATAAGGAGGGGAAACAGAGCAACGTCTTCCTCTACTTCAAAATAAGAGCATGAACATCAAAATCTAACTATTTGACAAATTTGATAATCAAAAGTTTGACACGAAAAAATTAAACTATATTTGCAAAATGTTTTCAAAGCTAGCTAAAGCGCTAAAGAAAAAATTAGCTCTGCTATTAGCGCATTGGCGGAGTTGTGTCCATCACTGCTTTCTTCAAATGCACATATTTAATCCAACATGATGATGTAAAGACATTGCATTAATTTACAGTCTACCATTGTTTTTCTTTTACAAATCAAATCCTCTTGTGTTATTTTAAGCAAACTGTTCTGTTTAGGTATAATTAGCAAATCAGGGTATACATTTTTTTAACCCACATTGACATTTCTGCCACTATTTCACCACTGAAGCCAATAAACGTAGAAAATATTGACTGTGTGCTGCCAGCCTGCATTCAAATCCTGAGATAAAATGTCTTTTTCTGGCTGCACTCCCAAGCGCTAAAAGGTACCAGCTAAAGGGAAAACAAACTGCTGAGCACGGCACCACTGCGACTGTGGTGGGAGGGAAGCCGAGACGCGGCCGCTGCTCCGCCAGTGAGATGGACAGCGACTTTTCGGAGAGTCTCATGAGCAGGGAGAGGAGGTGTGAAACTTCTAATTCCCACATAGCTGCAAAGACAGTGTGTTTGTCGCTAATGGGCACTCAAAATAGTGCTGGATGCAGAATATGAGAGGGAGAGTAGAGCAGCCCGGCACATTGAAAACTAGAACACAGAAGGTTCTGGCAGCCACAAACTCCTACAGGGAATTATATAAAAAAATACACACAGAGCCACTACTGTATGCTCATAAAATGCCCTCAGTTTCTCCAAGAAGAGGAGAATCTCTAACAGGGAAGACATCCAATAGATCAAACTTAAATCAGAACTTTACCAGGGTGCAAGTCCAAAACATTAATTTGTTTGGTTTGATTATAATCATCACAGGATGTCTCAGATACAAAATTTACTGGGAGCCATTGCTCTGAAACATGCAACTACTCTTCCAATTACAGAGGAGTGCAGTGCTTTGTCTATTGCGCAGCGAAAGCCAGCCTCACAATTACATTTGGAAACGAGTCCCGTCTGAGAACGAGAGCGTTGAATAATGAAGTCAGCCTCCATTCACCCACATATCAGGCTCCAGGGAGTAGTAAGGTCATTTCAAAGTGTGGTAATTATCAAATGTGCGCTTCATGGGCTCAGAGTCTAAACTAATATGCAAAAAATATCTCCTCTGTGTAAATTGTTTCTCAACTTAATAGCGGTTGGTTTCTGGAGAAAACAAAACTTGATTAAAGAAATGCATGCATGCAACACAACGAGCGCAAAACCCACAGAAAGCAAATCTGGGGAGGAGCATGCACTGCAGAAAACAGAGACAGATAAAGCAAGCGACAGCAGACCACACTGAAAGTGTAAAAACATTGGATAGTCACCAGAGATTTACTAAAAATACATGTTCAATTTCTTGTAGGATCTCAAGCTCTCTAAAGACGTTTCGGACCTCATCTCTCTCTATGCACTGCTGTTTGTTCATGTATTTCATGGCGTACATCTTCTCTGTGTCCCTCTTTTGCACAATGCATACCTGCAGGGAGCACAAACAGGGAGGGAAGGAAGGATGGAGGGAGGAGAAAAAGACAAGAAGAATAAACATGTTAGAAGAACAAACAGGTTTCATTGGTTTAAAGACACAAATAAAACATCATTCAGCTGCTCAGCAATGCAGCGGAAGGAAAATACCAGAAATACTTTATGTTTAGGATGGATGGATGGATGGATGGATGGATGGATGGATGGATGGATGGATGGATGGATGGATGGATGGATGGATGAGTTCACTTCAACCAAACTCAGGCAGAGGTTTGTAGGAGGACCAGAATTCGATTATGCGTTCACACCTCCCCAAACGAACCGGACTAAATCGTACTAAATATGGCTGATGGGAAACTTTGCTTATGGTTGAGCATGTAGAATTAAAAGCAATTTCTGAAACGTCACATTGAACTCGTTTTTTCATCTTTCTTTTTTTAATTAATTTTGAGGCCTGCCAGTAGCTGAAATCTGCAAGTTTTGCAGATATTTGTACACCACTGGACCAGTAACACCCGTTCTCTTTCCTACAACTTGAATGCATTTCTGAACCAGAAGAGATTAAGTAAATTATGCTTCTGCCAGTGGAAATAGAGAGAGACGCTCTGCACCGTTTCGAGTGACAGAAAACAAATATTTGCAGTTGTAAATTGCAGTTTCATGGGAACTTTAATGGTGCGTTGAAAAATCCCCCCAAAGGACTTAAAGGCTTAATTTGAGTTGTAAATAAAGACTCCACCTTTAATCTAGTCAGTAAAACGCTTCCCAGAGCCAGAGGGAAAACAAAAACACTGATTGGAACAACTAAGAAAATGGGATTAAGAGAACGCTGGAAGGTTTTCGATTTTAAGGAAACAGCTACTTTGGCTGTGTGAAATAAGTTTGTTTGGGTTTTTTCAGGAGAGCATCTCCACAGCAAGGACTTTTAAAAATTGGTTTTTGAATGTCACCATGACGGCAGAGTCAGGTTTAATTGAATTGATTGTTTTAGTTGATTGGATTTCTCTCTGCATGCTGAGATTGTTAAAGAGAAACCGTCACAAAAAGAGAGGAAAGCACTGAAATATTCACTCTTAAAATCCAGACAAAAACAAAACCTAAGATGCTGCTCTGAACATAAAACCTCATTTCAATTCAGGGAGTAAAACTAAGGCATAGCAGACACTACCCCAAACAGACATTTGACAGATTTTAAAAGGCAAACTGCAAAAAAAATCATTTTACTTTGTCATTTTCAGCCTTTCTTAATTACAAAAATGGCCAGAGGAAAGTGAACATTCATTCGAAATGAATATTGGAGGAAATGCACAGCCTAACCTATTGGATTTCATATAAATTATGATACAAGTTGCAGTTCTGGATATGCATAACTATTGTGTCTACAGTGCAAAAACACAAAAACCTACCAAGTAGTTTTGGTTTAGTTTTTAGTGGAAATATCTTAATACACTTGAAATAAGAAAAAAATAAATTAGAAGCAACTTTTCAGCAGAAAAAACTGTTTTTTGAAAAATAATTCCGTAATATTGAGTTAATTTTCCATCGGAAGATTATTTCACTTATAACATTTTATTATACATTTTTTGTGAGATGTTTAACACAGAACTACTTCATATAAGTCACATGTTCTTGTGTGTTTCCTATTTTGAAGAGAAGCACATTATCATTATACCTTGTGGAAAACTAAGTGATTACTAAGTGATATTATAATAAAATATAATTCATAAACAAGTGTTTTCAGCCACTGGAATAAAAGATTTATTTGAGGCAGTTAACACATCTTTACCATGTGGAGGATGTTGTTTGTGGGTTGTCATTGAAATTATTAATTACACAGGGCGGCAGCCAAAAACTTGTCTGGGGTCTTTCAACTGTTTTAGGGTCATTTTGATGTGTTGAGTCCAAATTTTCTGAACTTTTCTGAACAATTTTCTGAACAGGTTCAGTTTAAATGTGCTTTCCCTTACAAGTGTTTATTATTCATCTTACAGAAATCCAAGTTTGCAACATTTAACATTGAAAACATTTAGAGTTTGAGAAATATTAACGGAAATGAACTGATAACATCACAAAAATTTGATCAATTCAGAGAGAAGGTTGGATTTTGCTAATTAATTGAGAAAAATGGACATCATCTTTTGATTCAGCAGTGCAAAATAGTCCTAATTTAGTAGATAAACCATTGACAACTTCCTTTGTAACCCAGTGTAATACAATAAGCACAAAATGTTTTGTTTTTTTTACAAAACAGAGTTGGGAATTTTAAAACGTTTCTTCACATTCTTCACACCTGGGATACTAAAACTTCTTTCCATTGGAGTCATCTTATGCGAAAGTGTTTTGCAGCCTTGCAGATATTTCCCATCGATTTATCTCCCACTAGGCTCACATTATGAGCAATCCTCATGAATAGGTCAGCTGAGTAAAATGATGAAAACAAGGATTTATTCATGCATTCATGGAGGATATTAGCAATTTCAATGCATCAGAGCAGTTTTGTAAAGAGCTGAAAAAAGTAACGATTTAGAGGCGAAAGCGGTGAGGCGGAAAGTTTGGAGAGCTATTAGCATATGAATGTAGATATTTTCAGCTCCAGTCAGCTGAAATGGAAGACTCAAAAGATCACTCCGATGTGAGAAAAGTAAAGAGCTGCAGAGAAGTGATGAATCCTAAAATCTACCAAAGGAATTTTGTAAAATTACCTACAAAAATTTTTGATTTCTGAGCTCTTTATTTGAGGTTGTCCCTGGATGCTGCTCAGAGACAAAGTTGTGTTTGTTGTCAGACAGGAAGCCTGAAGCCAGCTCCATTCACCAGCTGGCTCTGCGTCTTGGCACGTCGACCAGATCAAGCTTTGGATTTAGCAATCTGCAGCCAGCACAGGCTGTCCAGCCAGGAGTCACAGCGGCGTCCACTGGACAAGATAAAACCACCGAATAACACAAAAAACAACATAAAAATACATCTGTGGTCATAAAACGGTGACACACTGATTCATTTCTGTGCAGAATCATTTTGCTACAACAAGCCCGTAAAAAAACAGGCAAAAAAAAAAAAAAAAAAAAAATCTACATTTATTAAAAACAAAGGCGAAACGAATGCAAAGAAACAAACTATAAAATGTTTTCCTTCCCTGACATCAGATAAACAGCTTGTAATGGAAACCAAGTGGAAACGCATGATTATGAACAAATGAAAAAGCAATTATCAAATAAGTGTCACTATTTCTGATGACTAATTAATCATCTGATATGCGGCTGCACAATATTGTGATTTCACTATTACTACAAGCAATATGCAAACTACCTCCACTGCAATAACTCTTAGTTAATGAAATACTTGGCATCCAAGCTCCCTATGGCTCCACACTTATTATTTATTGCAGCATAAAACATTTTAGTCCATAAAATCATTAATAAAGTGAATCTCCAATCTGACAGAAAGTATCTGAGATAATCATGATGATTTATATGAAAAGATTTGGACTAAAGTTACATAAGTAAGGCTATTTTGTCACATTTGATTTATTTTCCCTAAAGAGGCTCATGTTCATTCACAAAAAAATATTCATTTGTTGGCATTTTGTGGCCAAAAATAGCATTTTAAGCTTGAATAATCCACACCAAAGAAAAGCTCGCAATGCCTGAAAACCCACCTGTCTCATGATTGTGCAAATATGACAAGCGGTTTGCATATTTATCCTATTTTTATCAAAATTGGCATGTTTCCATGAACAAAATTTATTTTCATAATTCCAATTTGTGCCATTATTTGGTGAACGGATCAGAAGCATTAATCTGAATGTTTTTAAAGGGACGGTTGTGCTGGAATGTATTGATAAAATCCATTAAAATGTCAATAAATAGATGTTTGTTTCAGCATTCAACAAGTGTTTGTTAAAATTAATTAATCACTGATTAGTACATCCAGAATTTCTTTTTTTGTTGTTGTGGTTTTTCCCCTCAAAATTGCAGATTTTGTGTGTATAATTTAGAAATGTCTGTAATGTTTGTATGATATTTGCGCTAATTTATGACTTTTTATTAATCGCCGAATCGATCACGGACTATAACTTGACATCCAAGAAGGCTGAGGCAGCAGTCACTTAAACCCCAAGTTTCTGACCTGGTTTGATTAAAAAAATTAGCAGTAAATCAGAAACAATATGGGAATTTGTTGATTTTGTGAGAATTTTGCAGACTTGTGAAAAACTGGAGGGACTTACTGATGTAATTTGGAGCCACATAAAAAGCCATGACATGTGTGACATAAATCATTAGAAACACGCTGCACCATCATCCTCCAACCACTTCCTGTCTTCTTCTTTATCTTAAAACATCCAGTTATTGATCATGTGACTCGTGTGATGTGAAAACAGCTTTTTAGTTTTGCCTCATGCAAAAAGGTTTTATCTGGAAACAGGAGTTGTTTTTATTAAGAAAATGTATTTTTGTAATTCCAATTTGCACAATTATATGGAAAATGGAAATGCAGCAAATGCTGTGGTTAAGGAAAATCTAATTAAAGGGGAAGATAAAAGGTCAATCTTACAAGCTGTGTCCAGGGTTTGTGCTCAGCTGGAAGGAGGACAGTTCCTGTTTGGTTTAGATTCTGTCACTGGCAGCTGTAATCTCTCCCCACCAGCAGGACACAGCACCAGTTTATCTGTAAAAGAGCCTTTTAGAGGTGGTCAGTCGATTTACATTAAGGTTCTCTGCACACAGTGTGAAAGACAGCGCAGCCTTTTCATGTGGTGGTTTGAAAGGAGAGGAGGATGCAAGCGAAGCGCCGCCATCGAGGGGCCCACCTGTCTGACTCATCCTCACTTTTAACAGCCCTGAGCTCTGAAGCACGGCATTAACTTTGTTTTTGTTGTTTTCTTACAGCAGCCCATTCATTATTTAATCGGCTGTGAGATGGGAGAATGGCATAACGAGGAGCTTCACGGTCCATTTCATGGAGTTAATCTCGATAGGGTCACCCAGATGCGCCTGG